ATCACTTGCAGGTTGCCACAGTATAAATTGACCCTCGTGGCTGCTTTTGAGGTGCTGCTTTGAAATCTGGAGACAGAGCTAAGAGCTGCATTCAGTGTCCTCACGTAAGCCAGCCTCTGTCAGCTTCAGCACACTGTCCCTGTCTGTGATAGCGCTTCCCAGGATCTCCCACAAGAGGCCATGCCTGATTCATCCTTCTGTTGTTAAGCACAGCAGGCTGTCAGTACAGGCACAAGTGAGTGAGTGCTTTGGATGGAAAACTATATTCCAAATAGCCCTGTCTGTATATCTTTAATTCAGCTTACCGGGACTTACAGAGATAGCGAATGCTCCTCCATGGTAACTGTGAACTGGGTCAGAAGGCCAGCACCTCCTGCATGGAAGGTACTCGGTGTGGTTGGAGCCTCTTGATTCCAGCCCTCCCCGCACTCCTGTCGTGCCGTCTACAGCATCATTTCAGGCTGAAATCCACGCTGTGTGAGGCCGTGACACTTACTCAGCAAGCCAATTGGCACAGATACTTTTCCTGGGCAGTCATGGGGGCAAGAGGGGGTGGGGAGGGGTACCGTGAAGAGCAGGAAGGACACAGGAGGAGGAAATCTTTAGATTCCCTTCATCTGCATATTGGCCTCCCAGGTTTGAGGAAAACAGAGTATGAGGTTGCTTGATTCCAGAAATGATAGAATAATGCCCCGGGCCTAGAAGAATATCAGAACTTCAAAGTTGAAAAAACAAGCAATTAAAAAAATGTGATAATTATTAGAATGGAAACAAAGTTAAATTTTACTTTGAAATTACTATTTTCTTAGCGTATGAAATAATAATACCTCTCAGTTTGGGATTTCTGAATTAAAAGAAGAGATTGTATTCTTTTCAATGAAAAATACCGCAGTTTTTATGTAAAACGTGCTTTATGTATCTCTCTTACCTAATAAAATCATAGCATGTTACCATAACTGAGGCAAGGTAGTACCAAGAAGGTTAAAATGATAGTATATTTGCATGTGGCAAGTAAAAAAATCTGGAACACGCACATTTATTTTCCTGACTTTTCTGCCACATTATGGATTGAGACAACTTGTACTGGAATGTACATTTTCAAAACAGAGATTAAAAATCTCCAGAAATTATGGCAAACTGGGAGAGCAAAACTAAGTAGAAGGGCATGCACATGGCAGCTACCCTGCTGTGGTTTACTTCCATCGAGTTTGATGAGGAGCCATGCCATTTGTGTCCACTAGTCTATTTTGGTATTTTATGTTTTCTAAGTTGTGATTGTACAATATGAGTTTGAGACTTTGAGTAATTAAAAAATATTGAAGGTTATCCCTAGGAGAAAATCTGAGAAGATGAGTCTTGACAGATGTGATAGCTTGCACTAACAGAACTTTTGTAGCTGAGACAGGAGGGTTGTCATGAGCTTTAGACCAGCCTGGGCTGCAGCTTGAGGCCAGGCTGAGCTACAACATAATACCGTGTCTTAGGGGCAGAGGGAATAAATGTAGTCTCACTGTCTCTTCTTAAAGTTTATAGTAAACTTACTGAATTTTTGAGTAATTATTCTAGTTTTATGAATAGGATGATAAAACTTATAACTATATTATTGAAGAATTTCTAAAGAGAATTTTTCATTAAGAAAATTCTGGCCAGGCAGTGGTGGCGCACGCCTTTAATCCCAGCACTTGGGAGGCAGAGCCAGGTGGATCTCTGTGAGTTCGAGGCCAGCCTGGGCTACAGAGTGAGTTCCAGGAAAGGTGCAAAGCTACACAGAGAAACCCTGTTTCGAAAAAACCAAAACCAAAACCAAAAAAAAAAAAAAAAAAAATCCTGTAGTCACCGTTTGTTGGGAGATATGACTATGTATATGTGATAGAATATGTGTTACGTTGTGTACAGTAATTCATTAGGTGTGAAAATGTAAGCAGTAGCATATTGATTGTGATTGCCAGAGTGCTCAGTTCACATGTGAAGATTAGTACTGGGCATTCTTCTGCAGGTCAGCCCTCAGTGAGCTGAGAAGCATGGTTCTACGTGATTCATCTCCCTCCTTCTCCTGCTTAGAGTCTTGCTTTCCGTGGTTCCGGTTATGGTTTTCACAAGTCCTTTGTTGGAGATTTTTCTGTGAGATCACTCGTCTCTATTTCTCGCTTGTTGGATTTTATGTTTGACCCTTCTCGCTTCTCTGAAAGATGTGCAGTTTTAGTTCTGGACTCTTGACCACGCCCCCCTGCTTTTCTTGTCTGCATTTCTAAATATAGTCACCTGTGTTGGAGCGCGCTCACACTTTCCGTTCTGTGTGTCAGTGGATTGCCTTCAGGATCTGGCCAGATCGTGTGCTGGAAAGGGCCAGTCTTTCTCCTTGCCCAGCACATCATGACCTCTGGGATGACTGTTCGGCAGTGGGGAGGAAATATTAAAACAAAGAAGGAATAGCTGTTAGACGGAAATTGGAATGGAAGTGAAGAGCTGATGGAGCAGGTAGAGAGTCATCTACAGAGACAGTTCCACCCCACTTAGGACTTAAAAGAAGGGAGGGAGGGGGAGGAAGGGAGGAAGGGGGGACGAAAACTGAGAAAAGGAAGGCAGGCCCTTTAGTAGTCTCAGTCATTATCTATGATCCAAACACAGTGAGTTCAGTCTCCTATTTGATGTCTAGAACAAAATTTCACGTGCAGAAAAGTCTGAATTACAAATACTATTAGAATCTCAGAATAAGGTTTGAGGCAGGAACGATACACTGTTTTCTTCTCTGGTGTTCAGGCACGTAGATAAAAACTCAAGGAGTTCTTAGTGAATGGAATCGCACAGCTCTTGATGGCCACAGATTGCACTGGAGTAGAGTTTCCTTCCACAGGAACCTGAACTCACTCCCTCCAGTGACAGGCAGAATAGCTGGAAATAGCAAGCCCTGTCGATTGATGTAAGGGAGTAACTACCATGGTGTGGATGCCCCAGGAGAGAGAGAAATAGACAAACATGTGGACTGCTCTCAGGTCAGAGGGATGGTGGAATGATGCCACTGGCTGGTACCCATCTCCTGGGGATGCCGTGTGTCTATGATGTGAATATGCATAAGCGTCACCTCTGGAGATTAATCACATAGAAGAAGGCTCATTCTGTTCTCACTTTATTTTTATTTTTATTTTTTTTTTTAGAAAAATGGCTTTTACCCCGCCATTTCAAAACTGTCCATGTTGTCACAGTTTTTCTTCTTGCAGAAATGTTAGGGGAGTGGGCACTTGCTTGGCTCTTAACAAACAATGAAAACAATTCCAAATTATGTTCACAAGCAGAAGTATTTCCTTCAAAAAGCTTATTCTTATTATGGATTAAGAGAGAAAAATATATTTCCCATATCACCTATATATTCTGGTCTCCGCATATCTTAGGGGCTTAAATTGTTCTTTCAAATTAAGAATACTCCTTGATCTTACCAGGGGTTGGGAGAAGTTTAATTGTGAGTGTGTGTGTGAGTGTGTGTGTGTGTGTGTGTGTGTGCGCGCGCGCGCGCGCGTGTGTGCACAAAATTTGTATATGACACAGTAGAATTTTTAAAAAATTGCTTTTGACTTCCTGTAAACTCATATGAAAACATTTCTGAGAGAACAATTTAAGGGACGACAGTTTGGGCTCAGGATTTCAGGCATTTTGGTTGGTGGTGGCAGAGGGGGCCTCCTGGTGGGTAGAACAGCCTACAGAAGGAGAGAGCCGCAATGCCAGTATTAGCTGGCTTTCCCAGGTCCCTTTTATTTTCTCCATGCTTATAGGATGATGTCACCCACATTAACCTGGAAGTTCCCTCACAGATAACGCCAAAGAATGTGCTTTGATCATCTCCTAGGCACTGCTAGTCAGTCATGTTGACAGTATTAACCATCACAGATATCTTTTACTATTTTTTTTAAACTTTTTTTTTTTAAGTAAGAAGGTTTGGGGATGTATCTCAGGACATACATAGCATTCACTGGGGCCTACATTTGATCCCCAATAAAACACACACACACACACACACACACACACAAATCTTAACAAGAAAAGTATTCTTCTGTGTTTTGTACATTTTGAGAATTAACAAATAAAATAGATTTATTAAAAATCATACAGAATTAGAAAATACTTTTAAAAGACAATGCTTGTGTTGGCAGTTGCTTAAGCAGATTTGTTTTTATTCATTTAGAAAATTCTAGAAGTTGTAAAACACACTTGGATAGACCCATGCATCACTTAAAATTATTATATTGCTTTATGTATGAGTCTTTGCCTGCATATATGTATCGGACCTTATGGGTGTCTGGTACCTACAGAGGCCAGAAGAGGTCATCAGATCCCGTGAATCTGGAGTTCCAGGTGTTTTTGAATCAACATGTGGGTGCTGGGAACCAAACCCAGGCCCTCTGCAAGCGAGTGCTCTTCACCAGTGAGCGATCTCTCCAGCACTAGACCCGTGCATACATCTTTGTTATCGTTTGTACCTTTGTCTCTTGACAAATTCAACTCCGTTTTCCACATTTCCCTGAAGAACTTGTGGTGTGAGAATGGCTAGTGTTGAAAGAAGTGTTTATGACCAGTAAATAACACAAATGTTCCTTCAGAGATCATAGAGTCGGCAGGGCTTCCAGTCTGTTCAGTTCTAGGGAGAATTTTTGAGAGCCTAGTAATCTTCCAGTTTGGAGATGAAGAATAGAAAACACTACCTAAGAAGAGACGAGAAACTTCAAAACCAGAGAAGGACTAGAACCTACCCATTCTCTGCTCCGTGGTCTCCTCACCTGGGCTCCACCCCTGGGAATTCACCACAATTCCTCTTTGTCTTGAGGATCACATCTTTGTGTCAGTGATCTAAGGTTCAGGTGCCTGAATTCGATTCGAAGATAGCAAAAGGGAAACAAAGCCAAACAAAGAAAAAACAGTCATGCACGTTCTGTTACCCTGGTACAGATGCAAAGTAATTGTGGGCAGATAAAAAGTCACTGACTGCTGAATTCTGTTTTATAATACAGGAGCCACGGCCGCAGCCAGGAAGGAGGTCATCAGGAACAAGATCCGAGCAATAGGCAAAATGGCCAGAGTGTTCTCAGTTCTCAGGTGGGCTTGTCTTTCCTCCCTTTCTATTTGGAATTTTACTGTGTATCACGTGGTGGCTGTCTTAATACTTTACATGGACAGTTCAAATGTTTCACCAGGAAAGGTCTGTGTTTCTTGAATTGTTTCTCTCTTTTTAAATGGAAAGTGTCAATTCATCCACATTTTACTTACATTACAATCTACTAAATGATTTCCATGAAGGAAGGGTAAGTGGATTATGGTGCATTTTTTTATCCCTCTGTTTGCTGGAGGATTTAAAACACTTCACAAGGAACATGATTAGAATCTAATTCTAGTTTACAGTCTGGCTTTTTGGGAAAGATGAATTTATAGGGTGCATTTCACTGTATTTCAAGGAAATGAACATTAAGCATAAAGCTGTTGTTGTGAGCCCTAATTATGAGGAACAAAAGCCATCTCCTGTCCTAGTTCCCTATAGGAGTTTGTTTGCTGTTCAGTGGATCATGAATCATCCTATTGATGTTATTAAGCATGTGTTTTGAAAACAGTTTATTGAAGAGACTTCTCTGCACTGTACTTTAATAATCTATTCCAAGATAATGCATGGTAACTCTATTTCTCTTCAAGGGCCTCTTTTAAATAGGGTGTTGTTTTTCCATGAGGGATGCTGCCCATTCATGGTTATACACAGGAATGTGGATACATAGAAATGTTTTAGGAGTTATACACTGCTCATGTTTTGAAAAATGACTGGTATAATTCATATCTGTCCCTCCCTTTCTCTTCCCCTATCCCTCTTTTTCTCTCCCCACTCAATCCCTTTTCCTCTCCCTCCTAACCTTCTCTCTCGTCTTCCCTCCCTCTCCCTGCTATTGAAAGCTTGAAGTTGACTGGGGGGGGGGGGTTACCCACCACCTCCACATTACCCTAGAGTGTTCTTGAGTGAGAGTAGTAGGAAATATTAGATAGAAGGATTTAGAGTGTGCCTGGAACCTATTCCAACAGGCCCCAACTGTCTCTGCTCTAGGGTATTTATAGAAATGCCAAGGGGTGGAGCAGAAGACCTCCCCACAGCATAGCCAAGTGCAGAACATCTCAGACACCTGCACTCAGGCCCGTGGTCCAATCATCCTCTCTATGCAGACCTGCTTGGGTAAAGCCACTAGGACACCTGAAAAGGGGCTCCCACAGTTGGCCTCAAGTGTCTTATTCAGCCATTCCCTACTTTATTTCTTGAGGCAAGGTCTCTTGCTGAACCTGAGGCTCACTCATTCCAGCTCGTCTAGTTAGCCAGCTTGCCCCATCTCTGCCCCCCAAGTGCTGCCATGCCTGCCTGGCTTCTGTGTGGATTCTGGTCATTTGAACTCCATTCTTCTTAAGTGCACAGCAGATGTTGTATCCACTGAGCTATCTCCCAGCTTTTAGTTGTTTCTTGTCTTGTGTCTTGGTTTCTCTCCCTGCTATTTCTACTACTCTTGGTAAAGTCACTAAAGAGTCACTAAGAGACTTGATACTGAAAGTAGGGGCCAGTGAGAAGAATGAGAAGCATCCCCATCATTTCACAAGGACAACCCAAGTCAGCAGCAACTCTGAGGCAGCTAGAGCACTTGTAGAAAGTGACATTGATGGTGGAAATGGGCACCATCTCTCCTGTACCTTAGGGAGCAAAACTCTGAATCTTACCACCCTTCATTCCCCCTAAACTCTCAGGAATCACTCATTTCTGCAATGACTAAATAGCATCAAACCATAAAAACTAAGCATGCATCAAATACAATAATAAAGCAATACAGAGGGTTATCGCATTATCAATATGGCATTTAATGGGAGCAAAAGAGAATTATGAGTGAAGTCATCTGAGAAGATATACACCACCTACATGAAGAAATGGAATGAGAAAGTTCAAGGCAAAGAAGACATCAGAGGCAAAGATCCTTAAGCAGAAACAGGTTGAGCAGTTCTGTGGACCAATAGGAAGTCCTGTGGGGCTACAGAAATGACCTGTGGAGATAAATGACTATATGAAAATCCTGTGTTGAGTGGGTACCTCAGTCATGAACATTCGCAAATGTGTTATCTTTAGATTTACCAAACCATGCTCTTCTTTTTCTAACTGAAATCACTAGGAAGAGAAATAAAACACCAAGGGTTTCCATATAAAAGTCCATAGAGAAAAACAAAAAAACAGTAGAAGCCTCAATATAAAAATTGAGTTTTTATTATTTGAGTTCTCAAACTACATAAAAGTAGAAGAATCAGTGCTGTGGAATCCTATGCGTCTTCAAGGTCTGGAAAGTTCAGGCCTATGACTGTTGCTATCTATGATGATGTCCTGTAAGACATGGACTGCTTCAAACCTAATGATGACCAATGGCTTAAGATTTGCACATGTCAGTAGGAAACAAAAGCAAGGTTCATTCTCTTGTAGTCCATTCTAAAAGCATCTGTGGGCCTTGTGTAGGATACAGGAATCACATCCACAGGAGCACAAACTAAGTTTAGTTTGGTGGGCCATGCTGAGCATTGAATTTGAAGTGGAATGTGAGTTAGGCGATTCTCACAGCGAAGATGGAATGACAGACATATAAGCTAATGTAAAGCCACAAAGCATGTGCTACATATATAGACAGGTACTGTACTGTGGCACTGGATGGAAGGGAACCTTTATATTTCCTAGGTGGGTTGTCTTTAAAGAGGCTGTCAGTGGAAGAGGGCTGTGAAGGATGGGTTGGATTCTGGCAGGGAGGACTCCAGCAGTGAAGGTATTTCTGCAAAGAAGAAATCATGACCTAGTTAGGAGACATCATAAGGAGCAGTCACATGGGCCTAGGTCCAGTGCTCATGGAATCATTGCAGTACAGGCTAAATGCTGGATGTTGTTCCCCATATTATACACATTTAACAATAATCCACCTAGCATGCTTATAGGGCCGGAGTTGGCTTGCTTTATAACAGGTACTATATATCCACACCTCAAGGAATGGCAGCACCAATGTGAGCCTTACTCAGAACTCAGCCATGTAGGCCAGAATGATTGTAAATAATGCCCGAAATCTGGTTTGAAGCAGTTCATGTCTCACAGGACATCATCATAGATAGCAACAGTCATAGGTCTGGAGGAACCTTCCAGACCTTGGAGAGTATAGGATTCCATAGCATTGATTCTTCCACTTTTATGTGGTTTGATGAATTGTAGGTACATGAAAGCACTTAGTAGCAAAGGGCATGAAGGTGCGTGATTTGGTAAAACCTGAGGCTGAAAATAAACGAATAAAAGAAACTCAAATCTAAATCCTCAGCATACTTGAATACCATGATGAAGTGTTCAGTCTTTCTGTATGTGGCAATGAGGAGTCTTGAGATGGTTATCATGGAATGAGAGGCATGTTATAACCCATGCCTTAGATATATATATATGATTATGACTGGATTGGCTAGTGAGATAACTCTGTGTGTGTGTGTGTATGTGTGTGTGTGTGTGTGTGTGTGTGTGTGTGTGTGTGTGTGTGTGTGTGTAGACAGAGAGAGAGAGAGAGACCCCTTGCAGCAGATGTGCAGGCAAGTCGCCTGAGATCTGCCAATCACAAATAGGTCATATGACCTGCTTCAAAATGAACAGCATGCAGAGGCAACAGAATTAGAAGCACTGGATGGCAGCAGTGGTGGTAATTTGGCTTTGGGGGTAACTGTATAGTGTTAGTATGAGCTTGAGTAGGCCTGGACCATGAATAGCAGCACTTTGCAAGCCAAGGCCAGCTCGTGGAGTGAGTGAACATACAGACTCATCCTGGTGGAAGTTTTTTAGCACATTTTTCTGGAACTGTGTACTCTCTAACACACTTTTAGACAGCTCTCCACTGGTGAGATCAGCTGGTCTGGATTCTGTTCTCTCCTGCAAGAACCTTTATCTGTGCAATGAATGATAAGGAAGAAAACGTACTGTGAGAACAGCCTACAAAACCATAGCCTAGGTGATGGATAGGATCCTGTTATTTATTGGGATGACTGGTGTTGTACCTGGCAGAGCCTTTATGTTGAGGCAGTTAGACATTCCACCCTGGAGTTTCAGAGAGACGTGCAGAGAGAGGGGTGAACAGTGGTGTAAACTGCTGTTCTTGCTGACAGAGAGAATGGAATATCTGAGAAAAGTCAAAAAGAACCTCTGCATAATGCCTTTTAATAGAAATACAGCATGAGCCACGTCTGTCTTCTTAAATGTTCTAGAAACTTCCATAAAAGAAACAAAAACACAAATGCCCAGAGTTCCCTAATTCAATGTATGATCAGTATAATATTTATTGGGAAGTCCCAGCTTAATCTTCTATCCTACGTCCTTGAAGATTGGCACATTGTTTGGAAGCACACCCTTTGACTTAGAGTCACCATGCCTCCAGTAGTTGAAAGCTGTTAGTGGCTAGGGCTAGAGAGAAGGGAAAGGTCCATCAAGGGATTGAGAAGGGCACATCTACAAGAACGTGATGAATGGAATCAAGGGGGACTTTTGAGGAGGTCACCCTCCTCGGTGGAACTACAGAAGAAAGCAGTTCTCGGGTGAACCCAGCAGAAATGGGTGGGGTTCAGAGTGAAGACTGTGAAGCAGGAGTGGGAGGCAGAATTCCAGGGAACAGGAAGTGTGCCGACTGAAGGGCAAGAGGCAAACAGAAAGAGCAGGCAGGCAGATGGCCGCTTTCTGTGTGAGGACTTGTGCATAGTTTACGATTCAATCCTTGTCGCTATAAATGTGATTTTATAGAGGAGAAAACTGAAGCCCAGAACAGTGAAAGGCATTGTGACCTCCCTTATGTAGCTGGAGCTTTAGCCAGAGATCAGCTGATTTCAAGGGGGTGTTTTCCAAAACAAACAAACAAACACTCTCAGTATCTTTGGTAGAAAAATAAATTTTTGGAAATTGAAAAATTACTTCAGATCACCAGAAAACTGTCATTAAAATGCTGACAATCAAATGATCACTGATCATATTGACTTCTAATGTTCATTTTGTTTGAGCAACCCTAATTAAAATGGGATTTGATGCCAGGACTTATTTGGTGTATAGAAATATTTGCCCACTGTGAGGCTAAAACCTGACTTTGAATGTGAATATAAAGGTAAGTTGTGTTTGTTTTTGTAGAGGAACTCCTGAGTTTTCCAAATCTGCATTATTAGTATTCAAGATGTCTCTTTTTTACATAACCTAGTGGTTTGACGTCAGAAGTGTAAAAAGGTTGAAATTCCTGTATGACTGTAAACAGTGATTAATTGGCTGGCTCAATCCTAATATTCATGAGTAAACTGTACAGTTAAGGAGCTAGATATCTAAACTGTGGGTCAGAGATCCATTATCCTTTCAGTTTTTAAAACACTCCTTCTTCCAGTAAATACTTGCTGAATATGGGCTGTATAGATGGTGTTGATCCAGTGTACGTACTGTGATGCAAACATGATCAAAGCAGAAAGAAACCCCTGTTCTGCAGAAGCTTGAACAACAGAGAAGTGGTCGTGAGAGACCAAAAGTAAACAGTAGAACAGGTAATGTGGGGCGTGGGGCATGAAAGTGGTATTTGGAGTAACATTAGAAAGGAGGCTAGAACGGTCATTTGAAGGCAGAGGGAGTGAGACACACAGACAATCCTGGGCTGACTCAGGACAGTGTCCTAGGATAGGGTGTGCTGCCTATGTGAAGGACACTGATGGGAAATGCACTCTGAGAGCTGGGTGAGTGGAAGAGTGTAAGTAGGGGTGCTGTTCTTTTGTGATCCTAGTGAGCAGCGAGAAGCAACAGAATCATCACTGCTCTTCAGTGTCTTCAGTAAGTCTACTTTTTCATCTGAAAATAGCTATGGGCAGAGAGGGTGAACCTGTGATGGATGGAGCAGAAAGGCCACATCCAAGACTGTTGTAATGAAAATAAGAGATGCCAGTGGTTTGTAAGAGACTACCCCAAAGGACCATGTGTTGCATGGTGCTGTTCCTAAGGAATACCCATAAAAACAGCCTGCAGAATAAAATGGAGGTGTTGCCCAGGGCTGAAGGAAGTAGAGAATGAATAACAACAGCTCGTGGATTCAGGGGTACTCTTGGAGATGATCAAATGTTATAAAGTTGATTGGGGTGAACACTGTACAATCATCACATCCCTGAGGATAGGTAGATGAGTTGAGTGTGTGGCCTGCTGACATTTTTGATAAATGAGATGGTAGGGTCATGAGAAGCACTGAGAGAAAAGGAGTGCTTGGGGGTGGAGAATCAGCGGAGTGGCTGTGGAATGGGAGGTGAAAGTAGCCTCAAGATGCTGCTGTAAGCTGGAACAGCTGGACAGTGGAATCCCAGTTTCCGAACTGAAGAAAGGTAGCAATCTAGGGAGAAATTCCTTTTGAGTCATGTTAAAAATCATCATAAAAAATATTGGTACTTGGAACCTACTCAGTACTGTGTGCACATGTGTGTGTATCTATGCACATGTATTGTAAACTTATCCCTGTACACATAGGATTGCAGGATCTGTTGTGTAAGAAGATAATAGGTTATTCCTATTTCACAGTTCTATTTTTTAACCATTGAGTCTGTTAGTAAGTCAAAGTGACTGTAAAATGATAAGCTTAATTGAAATAATGATTCACTTAAAACAATTTTAAAACAGGGTCATATGACTATGAAAGGAATTTCATGTAAGTAACTCTGTGAAGGAGGAAGCAGAAAAATACAAGCTCAGAAATGTTACCAGCTGCATGTGGACCACTTACTGTCACTTTTTGTGTCTGTCACATGACTAAAGGCCTTCAGGGGCCCCCTGAAATAATCCCCAGGTTTCTGACCCTTAGATAAGACTCACCTCTCAAATAGATGGGGTTCGCCGACTGTTCCTGGGCCCCTCACTACAGAGCAGGCCTGCACATACTGCACATCCACATGCACTGCTGCTCGCTGGGTACACAGGTCCTTGTCACTGAAGATGCACAGCGACGACTTGGTTTTGTGGTATGTGGTTACAAAGGTAGAAGCACCTTCTGGATCTTCAATATGCAAGAGACCCAAATGCCACAATTGCATAATGTGACTTTATCACTGAAGTTGTTTATAAAATATGCCCTTTGTATAAATAGATAAAAATGGATTTTATTTTGAATAAAACAAAAGATCCACAGAGCCAATGTGAGGTAAATATGGGTTCTTACATGTCTTTTTTTTTTCTACCAAAGAAAGCAAACGTTCACTCCCACAATTGTTCTGTGTCTTCCAGAGAAGAGAGTGAGAGTGTTCTGACCCTGAAGGGCCTGACCCCGACTGGCATGCTCCCCAGCGGAGTGCTTTCCGGAGGCAAACAAACCCTGCAAAGCGGTAAGCAAGCCCAGTGGTATGACTGGGAGCACACGGCCCGCTGGACCAGTAGAACCTTGAGGTCCTCATTCAGCTCAGTCTCCTCTTCGGTTCTTCTTGGCTGGAAGAAGGGCTCAAACCCACATGTCAGCTAAATCAGTCATGTCAATCCCAAAAGCACCTCATTCACCGCAGCCCACCCGTCCTCCCTCATTAGTACATGCATCTGTTATCTTCAGCCTCCTTGGGGGACAGCTTGTTTAGGGTACATGTGCACACAACAGTAGACTTGACTCCCTGGAGCTCCTCTCCGTCAGCCAGCTGATCAGTGTAAGTTTTCTGTGACATCCTAATAGTCCACTTAGCGACATGGCTGATGAAATGTACACACAAATAGATAGATAGATATACATAACTATAGATATGGAAAGAATATAAAAAGGGTAATTTAAATATCCACTTAAGCAGAAATGAGACTTATATAAGTCTTTTCTCTGATTCATCAGAAATACAAAAAGAGTGATCACAACCACATTTTGGTTTTGTTTTTTAATAATGACATCTTTTTTAAGTAGACATTTTACTTTATAGTCATAACTGGCTGGACAAGTATCATCCAGTGTAACTTTTTGTGATGATGTGAATTTTTTACGTCTGCAAAGGCTGCTGGTGACACAGAACCATTGAACAGTTGACATATAACTAATAGCCCCTAATTTTCAATAAATTTAACTTAAATATTCACATATAGCTAGTGTCACCCATGTTAGACAACACAATTATGGATAGTCTTTCTTCTGTTATGAATGTTCTTTTATCAATTTAATTAACATTATCACTAATTAGAATATAACTTATACAATATGGAAATTTTGCTTCTAGGTTAGACTTCAACAGAAAAAAATTACAGGAAAAATATACTATAGTATGTTAATACAATCTCAGCCTCTAGTTTATTTCTCCCCTGGATCTTTCTCATGTTTTCTTTCCTATCCCTGTCCTTCATCCTAAAAGACTCAGGTATTTTACCATTACATTTTTAAAACATTTCTTCCACACAACACATAATGATCAACTTCTGAGCTCAAATTTGCCAAATCATCACACTTTAGGAAGAACAGTCATAACCTTTATTTTTGGATAATCTTCCTCAAAAATCACTGCCTTTGAGTTGCCACAAAAATTCAAAAAAGGTTTAGTGAAAGCAGGAAAATCTATAGTAGTTGAGGTAGAAATCCCTCCTTAAATCTACAGTTAGAAATTCATCACTTCTTAAAAACACAAAAAAACTTTTCCACCAGAACGAACACACTGAGAGACTAGCATAAGGAGATCATGGATATACCCAGAATGCACCTCTGGCCAGCTGATGGAAAGCTGCAGCTCCTAACGAGCTCAGCAAACGGCAGAGGCCCACACGCCATCAGGGACTGACTGCAGACAGCCTGTGCCGAGGACACACGAGGCCGTGTGTGTTTCTCCCCCCGCAGTGCTGGTGTAGTCCCAAGGTTCTGGCTTTGCTTCTAAACCTAAGGTCTTGATGTCTTTACAGTGCATAGTGTCACCTTCAGGTGGTCACCTGTGTGTGTTTGTAGCTTCAGTTACTACAGTTTCTTTTCTTTTAAACCCATCTATTTGTGTTACTCTATGTTGAATTCACACACACACACACACACACACACACAATTACACATTTCAGACACACACACACACACACACACACACACACACACACACACAATTACAAATCCTCTGGGTTGAGACTTCATTTGACAACTCAGTATATAGTTGAAACCAATACCTTGCCACTGCTTCATGATTCATATCTGACTCCCTGCCTTTGGCGTAAAAGCAGAAGCTGCTGAAAGCTTTGGCATTCAGCTCTTCTCTGTAGTTATGAGGAATTCAGAATGCATTGTTAACTGGAATGCATATGTGACCATTGTTGTAGTTTTAAACTTTTAAATTATGAGAAAATGCAAATTAAAGCCCAGGGATAGAATATCATCAATGTTAAGCATTTTAAACTTAGAGAAAAGTTTAATATTTTAACATTTAATTAAGGAAACATCATCTAGCCATAATAGCACAGAAAAACTCATAAACCTGCACAAGGACATGGTAGAGCCTAAGTATACAGAGGGCTTTCTTGACCTCTGGAATTACTGTTTCAGTGTATTGTTATACTTTACTCAAGGACCTCAACCTTGAGACACCCTGTTCCTGAAGATACTGATGGAATTATTACTGCTCCTGCCTTTTTCCCACTTAACTTGCAACACTTTAGGAACTTCATTTCCAAAAATAGTATTGCAACAAGAAAAAGAAAACAGCCCGGACTTAGCCTGCCTGGCAAAAGACTTCCAGGCCTTATCATTCCCTCTGTGGTTCTCTTTGTCTCCCTGACCTCCCCCTCCAGAACTTGTCTTTTAAGACTCCTAAGTGTTTGCCACCTAGACAACTTGATTTTATGTCCCCTTCACCCCCACCCCACCCCCATGCATTTGTGTCCCTCGAGGAAACACTACCATTTACTATTCAATAACATGAAGTATCTCACTGATGTCACGACCCAGCTCCAAGCTTGCCCTGTTCCTCTGGGGTCCAACTCCAAATCACCAAGCGTGGATTCTAAACTGCTCTTAGAATCAGAAACACGTTGTAGATTGTCATAACCCAGTCGTCAAGTAGCCCAAATAACAGAAAGCTTTTCTGCATGGTTCCCTAAGGGACTTCGTCATTGACTAGGGAGCCAGGACCCCAAGCCACCCATTCATTCCCTCAGGTGTATGCAGGCCCTGACTGACACCTCTCTCTTTCCGTGGTGTTTTTTGTTTTTTGTTTTTTTTCCTTTCTCTGTAGCCTTTCTGTCTAGTTGTCTGTGCCAGAAGCTAGCACTTAGAGGAACATTAGTCCCCAGGTCCTTTGCTGTCACTGACTTGTTCTTAGCCTTAAAAAAAAAATCCTCTGCTCATTTTCTCATTCATTTTGCACCCCCTTTCTTCTCTTCAGCTACTGTTGAGGCTATTGAGGCTGATGAAGGTAAATTGGCCAGTCCCCTTTCTGTTGTGCCTGCAACAGATAAGGGCTCTGCTGGGTGTATTCATTTTTTTTTTTTATTTTTGCTGTAGCTTGTACAGAGTGTGTGGGTGTTGGGCTAACAGTTGTGGCTCAGTATTAACCGAAATGTTCTTGCTTTAAAGGGGAAAATGTCCTTCTATGGTTTGTTTGTTTGTTTTTTTCCCTTAAAGCTATGTTTGACTTTTGTATACGATGAACCTACTCTAATCTCAGAAAACTAAAGGATTATATATATATATATTTATTATAAATTTCTATATATCATGAATGATGTGGGGTGGGGGTTATGGCAGCTGCTTTGACAAATGACATGTAAAATGATCTGCTTTGAGCTGAACCATCCCTCCCTCAAATCACTTCCAGGTAGGACAGAGACAAAGAGAATAAAATTCAGTTGAGTCTAGTCTTTGCAAGCTTGCAACCGCAGAAATGCTTGGTAATGCTTTGTTATGGTTCAACATCACTCGTGTCTCTAAAATATCCCAACGTGAGACAGACGTGTAGAGGTAAACTTTTATCCTTGTCAATGTTGACCAATTGATATGTGTAAGAAAGTTAGCGCTCACAAAATATTATAAAAAGCCCAAAAAGTATCTGTGGCGGTGAAGTGGCCGACAACAAGGCTATCGGGCAGACAATGAGTTAATGATCCCAAGTGTCTGCTCTTTGCTAGGCCTCTTGCTAGGAGCTTCTGAGGGACCTGAGAATGGTACATCTCTAACTGATTTGGAGCACTACTCAAGAGCAGTAATGTTGATACCTTAGTCACAGTGTTTAACTGAATGCTGTTTACTACATGGTTACACGATAACGCACATGAAAATAGTTTTGAATATTATGCATACCACATCCTCTGGGATTTTTTTAAAGCATAATTTGAAGTTCCCCTTTAAAACAAAATTCTTCAGTTGTATTTTGTTCTTGCAAAATGACTTATTTTCCACAAATTGTGTGCATATATAGTCCTTTGGTGTGATGTAAAAAAAAAAGTGTCACTCTAGCCTTACAATTTGCTCATGATTTGGATATGGTAGGGGAAATGACAGTGATGTAAGAGAAAAATACAACTGTTTCCTAAATAGCAGTGAGCAAACTGCTATTTATGTGGGAATTCTCCATTCCTCTTGGCAAAATCTAATCTGCAGTGTGCATTCCTGTTGATAGTTTGGCTGTTTTCTGTGACTCTGTGGCTCTGTGTTGTGTTAAGTATACTCCCAATGTAAATTGCTAACCCCCACTGTCTGACCGGCAACTGGAGCAGAGCACTTCCTTCCACGCAGGGTAGACAGATGCGATCAGCAATGGAGCCCCATCCTGAACTAGCCTCCGGCCCACTAGATTTGGCATTCCTATGTTCCCACCCTGGGGGCTGCAAAACCTAGAGCCTCCACTTTTTTTTAATGAATGAAACGGTTTTATGACTTCTCACGACCGACTTTTGGCTATGAGTTGATGCCATTTAGAAAAAGACTAGGCTGTCTGTTATTTTTTTTTTTTTTGCCCCATAAAATAATTGAATTCATTTTCAGGGTGGGTGCTCATTAGACAACTCGATTATTTTTTCAGTTAATTACCAAATTACAGAATTAAAAAGCTTTGCTTTGGGCCTTGGTCTTTCCTCATCTCCCCATGTTCTTCCTCTCACATTTGACTAATCACCATTATGCTAACCTGAAAATGCAGATGGGGAACAATTTGTTGTTCTTTCTAATGGTCTTTTAAACGACTGTAAATCTTTTAGGACTGTCATCCGTACTAGTGAGAGGCTGCACATTTGTGTCCAAGGGGCTGGCCAAGTGTCAGCTTTAAGCTGCTTTCCTTTTGTCCCCCAAAAGTGGGGAGGAGAGAAGTACCTTGAGATTGCCCTTAATAAGCTGTGGAGATGCAGCCCAGTTCAGCATTGGTGATTGGCCACCCGTACGTATCAAGCTCGCACTTCACGGGGAGTAAAGCAAACTGATGTCATTGGTTCCCCATCTGTGCCTTTGACTTTCAGCTCGCTGGTGGGGCACCCACTGAGGAAGTTTGTACGTTTTTCAAAAATGCCTCTCGTATCTCTGTAGCGCACTAAGGGTCATGAGAAGAAAACGCAAGAGAAGTCAAGGTTTTAATTAGAAGGACCAAAACCAATTCATTTTTGCTGAAAGCGGTGAAAAGCATTCACCTTTGGTTCTTCTTCGGCCACCACTTATTATTATCCTCCTGGGAGTAACTTTTCCTTGGTTTAGGCAGTAATGGGTACCACATGAACATCAGTTTGACCTGTTTGCTGCTGAAGGGCAAAAAATGCTTCTCTACTTAGTCATCTGGTCTTTATTTTTGAGTTTCTCTTACTTCCTCACCCACTATACATAGGCTTCTAAGTGGGAAAACAGCTTGTGATTTCATTTTTCCCCTTACCATTGAGTGGAGATCTTTGTGGGATTTGGAGATGGGGGGAAAAAAAAAGCATCCCTGTCAATTCCTTTTCTAGTTCCTTAGACCTTCTGTTCTAAGCCGTGGCTAGAGCTCCAGGTAGAGCAGAAAGGGCTTCCACTGAAGGTGCTGTCACTAGCACGGTGGTAGGGTAAGCATGGGGCAAGTGTAGGCTTTTTTAGCCCAGGGTGTTAATGGATCACCACGCCAGTGATGTGGCCAGTGTTGCTGGATCCAGAAGCCTGCCCCTGGAACAGCTTTTTCCTTTACATATCCACTGTGGATTTCTGTGATCTAAAGTTTGATGAAGACAAGAAAAATGCTTGCATCTTAATCACTTCAAGAGGACATTTTGGTTGGCAAGAGACATTGGCTGTTTTCAAACCCCTGGTTCCCTCCAGTATGGTAAGGAGTCTGTCATGTTGTCTTCAGGTCCTGTCACGTTGTTCTCCACTAAAGGATTCCCACCCACCACGAAGTCTCTAACCTCACCCGACGCAACCGCGGTACTTTGGTGATGCTCCACCTAACCTAACCCTCTCTCTCTTTTCTTAATGATTTTCTGTTTAGCTATCAAAGGATTCTCACCACAACATAAGATCACTAGCTTCGAGGAGGCAAAGGGCTTAGACCGAATTAATGAGAGGATGCCGCCCCGCAGAGATGCCATGCCCTCCGACGCCAACCTTAACTCCATCAACAAGGCTCTCGCCTCAGAGACTAACGGCACGGACAGCAACGGCAGTAATAGCAGCAATATTCAGTGACCACCTCCTGTTCACTCTTTTTTTTTTTTTTTTTTTTTTGAGCTGCAGGTCATGATGGGATTGCTGCTTCTCAGCAGTTAGATGTTCTTGCCTCGGACGGTAGCTTGTTTGCTCTGGGGGCCAGGAATTGGATTCAGTTTACACTATCACGAAAAAAGAGAGGGAGAGAGATAATAAACTATATTTTGGTGAGGGTGGTGATTAAACACCTCTTTGGGGTATGCCTTTAAAAAAAATGCTTCTAGGAAAAAAGTTTTAAAAAGAAAGCTAATGCTAGTCTATACTGCAATGTTAGGGGAATGAACATGTTTTCCTACTACACTGGGGACTTCTAGATAGGTTAATGAAAGGCCTTTTATTCTGTTACTGGACACGAAAACTTTGTCTAATTTCTTATACTCTATTGTACGTTTACAGTTACAGCACTAAAAATGGATGACATCAAACATTTTTAACAACAACAGAAAATGATGTACAAACTAAATAAGGACTATTTATTGATAATGTTTTGCTACTCTTGTCAGAAAATGGCTATAAACTGAATTAGGCAGTCTTAAAAAAAAGAAAAAAAACCTGGAAAAAAAAAGAATGTTGCAAATTTGTTAAAATGCCAAAAAAGGACAGTTTAATTTTGTATAGCTCGTGCTTACCTCAGGCTCCTTTAGTTTGCTTGAATGCCCTTCTTTCCATAGAATACTTATTAATTTGGCAGTGAATACATTTTCTTTAAGTTTAAAAAAAAAACTGGAATAATTACACCCATCTTTTTTGCTGTTTATATTTAGGGGTTTTGTTGATAAATCAAGTCTTGGTTGTGGCTTGCTGAATTCAATATTTATGAGTGGTGCATTTTTAAGTATAGTGAACACGACACCATAGTGCAGTGACGAAGCATCTATATTCTGTAAAAAATAAAAACAAAAAAAATCTGCCTATGCATGTTTTTTAAGAAAAAAAAAATAAAATGGCTGTATCGGCCTGTATGGGACTGTAATGCGCTTAGTGGTCTGACATATACTGGAAATGTATGTATACTGGCGTACTTTATATTCTCTACAATGCTTAATGCCTTTGAAATTTTGTAATCAAAAGAAGCTTTGAAAAAATCTAAAGGGGAGAGTATTCTTAAAAGTTTTTAACATAAGCTTGTCAGTGCACACATAGATGGTTGGCATGTTTAGCAAACTTTGTGAAATTTAAATAAGTTTGTAGTTACATGTGAAACTCTAAATGCATGGTAACCGTTACTGTCATAACAGTTTAGTTATTTCCTTCTGTTCTGTCATGTGCCACAAAATATGTACTTTTTTCACTTTTTTTCCCCTTTGTATATTAGTTACGGGTTACAACTGGTTCATTCTGAAAACAACAACAAACAACAAAAGTCCATTCATATTTTTTAACAATTGTATAAGTGCCCAAGTCATTCACTACAGCCTAAAGCCTTGCCTTTGTAATTTGACTTCTGAAATGTTGGCAATCAAAGCATGCACCTGTAACAATGACAAAGAAAAAGCATTTTATATTACTACTCAATAAAATGTGCATGAACTTAAAGAACGCTCATCCTTTCACTGGGTCTGCTGCAGGGAACCGTGTGCACAGCCACCATGGTGTCCTCTGGGTGCTGGCTCCTCACGATCCTGCACACTTAGGACAGGGCTGCTTCCCAAGGGTCTCATGATCTAAGGAGCGCTACCCACTTCTGCTGTAAGTGTCTTGGTGGACTTGTGCCTCAAAAATCAGGCGAGAGAAGTCTACTTAAAGAGCAAATGCCATCTCTTGGCTCCCTTGAATGCAGGACCTATTTAAGAAACTAGAGCATTCCTTTTAATTAAAAAAAAAAAAAAGAAAGAACGAATCGCCAGTTTGTTATCAGGTTGTTTCAGTTGTATGGGGATGCCCTCCCTGCTAGAGCAAAAAGGACTAGTCTCCTAAGCACATTTCCATCAGAGCAGAGCTGCAATTGTATTGAGGTGAAGTTTGTATTCCCATGCTTTTAGTCATTATCACATGGAGAGTTAGGAGACACCACATTTCAGTTTGTTTCTAACGTTCATTTTCCAGTGCACTTTGTTTATGTAATAAATTATGCCTATTATATTAAGTAATAAGACTATGACGATTAGTAATAGAGTGTACCAAAACAAAGATACATTCGCTGACAAAAACTTCCCCGTGGTTATTTGAATGAATCAAAACGTTTTTCCTGTGGATATTTCCCCATCTTCAAACAAAAGTGGCATCCAAGGAAAAGAGATGCAACTTGCTAGAACGGTGTGAAAGAAATGGTGATTCTGGTACCAATTTGTGTATTTTCTTTCTTCTAACTGCAGAGAAAATATCCCAAAAATATTAATAATTATTATAATAATCAGGTTTTTTGGATTCCTTTCTTTTGCAAATTGTGCTAAGGAAACTATGGCATAGAAATAAACATTTGACATTGAAATAAGCAGTTGCTGTGAGTATTGCTTGTCTTTTTGCTCAGTGTTAGGGAAGTGACCCTGTATTTTTTCACATAATAATTTGATCTGTCAAAGGAATTAATATAGAGCTGAAGATCTTCTCCAGAACCAACAACACTTACAAATACTTGATAGTCCTGTCTCTTTAAGAGACAGACTATTGAATTCATGCATTCTCTTTCTGGGTGCCTGGGTACAAACACACACATATGGATGGGTACTCACGCAGCCACACTCTGGTCCCCAAGTTGCCTTTGCCTGTGACAGAGTGACTCACTTATCACGAGGTACCAGTTCTGCTGAATTTTTATGTAGTGTTTGGAGTTCTAAGAGCTAGATCTGCTAGCCCCACACAGCAGACTTTCTCGTCTGAAATATAGCCATCTTACATGTATTTTCAAAAAGTAAAAAAGAACTTGAGAGACTCACCTGTAATGAGAACCAAGTGTGGTATCTCAGTATGTCTGCAAGCCATCACTTAGGGTCACTGTGAACACTGGAGTAGTCTGTGCCATCTGTCTGTCCATAGTCCTGTGATGCTGTGAAAGCCCTCTGAACTATTTTGTCCTGAAATATTTGCTTTTTGCCCACCTTTATTGTACCCATGTGAAATAATTTTAATATGCATCCATTTTCCCTATCTTTGAGTTGGACCTTTAAGGTAAAGTCAGCTACATGGATGGGATAGTCTGTACAGCCTTACTTAAGAGTATCACACTTACACTTGAGTACTTCGTGTCTGTCACTCACTGGACCCCTTGAATTGGACAAATCAGAGATCTCTAAAGCTGAAGATACTCACGTTACAATGGTGATATGGCCAACTACTTTCATTGCATAGGCAGCATGTTTCTGCTATGACCCCCTCACTGTGGTGTGTTTGTATTTTTCACTCACATTCATGTACATATTTATGCACGCGCACACACACATACACATACACAACCACTATGTCAGGTAGTCCTGACATATATATTATAATATTAAATTTAGGCATTCTTTAGGACAGTGAGTCAGTATTGAGCTTAATGTGGAATGCTTTTCACTGTGTTTCATGGGCACTCCCTTCAGGTTTTTCTTTTAAATAATGTAAGCCAGCAACACCCCTAACTAGGTCCTTGATGATATGTTCATTTTTTTAATGCATACATAGTAACAAGAGGCACAAAACTAAGAAAAAAAAATGTACATACTTTTGGTGACCATATTGTCAAGAGACAACTAACATGTTGGTATTTATGTTGAATGATGGAGACCCAGCAGGAAAGTCTGTTTGATGGAAAGAATGAGGAAACTTAACAGGTAAACAACAAAGTCATGTTACCAATGGGATTTCAGAAGATGGCGCTGACATTGGAAAACTTCTACTTATCATAAAGGAGAAATGGCTCCGAAAGGAACCTGCATTCCATGAGAGTAAAGGCTCACTCACTGGGTTCAGTTACAGACACCCTGAGTTTGGCATCATAAATGTCTTCTGAGAGAAACTGAATGGGATAGGTTAGACACTGTGTCTGGTTGGAAGAGCTGCCCTCAAGGATGGAGAGTAACCTGCACCATATCTAAATGTCCCTGAAACAGCACAAGATTGAATGTCCCTTCAACAAGAAGATTCAGAATGTCCTGTCAATTATTCGATATAAACCAATGTAGCATGAATTTCTAAAAGGCCTTATTAATAGAAACAAATCAGGAGCCCGGTATTGAGGTGAACGCTGAATGATCAAACAGAACAAGCCACATCCAACTTCACCTTGCCAATTCCTCAGCTGATCTTGATTCCTCAGACTGAAAGCCTCTGAATCCTGATCCGAATAGATCTCAGCTGAACTGCAGCTAAAAGCTAAAAGCTTGAAGGCTCTAGTTCCTTGTCTTCATGTCTTATATACCTTTCTGCTTCCTGCCATCACTTCCTTGGATTAAAGGTGTGTGTCACCATGCCTGGCTGTTTGCAGTTTGGCTGTGAACTCAGAGAGATACAGACAGATCTCTGCCTCCTGAATGCTAGGATTAAAGGTGTGTGCTATCACTGCCTAAACCTATGTTTAATATAGTGGCTGTTCTGTTCTCTGACCCCCAGATAAGTTTATTGGGGTGCACAATATATCAACCACAAACTAGTCCTTCAAAACATGGTGTTTGCACTCACACTGTCTCCGGGATAAAGCTCTGCATCAACTGACAGTGCCCCCTATGGGTTTTACACATTGGGAACCTTTCATATGTAGATAAAAGATAACAGCTGAGAGGAGTTTTCATGAGATTGGCAGGGAGGGGAAAGAAGTTAGCTAATAAGCTGAGATCTCAGGACAAAGTTGAGTTAAATGCCTATCTGAAGGCATTCCTTCCAAGTTACACAGATTGAGTACCCCTTGTCCAAAATGCTTAGAACCAGGGATGTTTCCAATTTTAATATTTTCGAGATTTTGTAGTAAGGTCGGGTATACCATTGAGATCCCCAATCTGAAGTCTGAGGTACTCCGAAATCCAAAATGTTGGAATTATTTCACAAAGTTTCAGCATTCAGACTTTTGGCTTAGAGATGCTCGTCTTAAATTTTCAGGTTTTTTTTTTTAATACCCAAGTGCTAGAGATGGCTAGGTCAGTTACTAATAATGCCACGATGTCTATAGGAATTAGTCGTGCATCTTCAAGGTGGCATGCAAGATCACCCACCTATGACTCTTGGCAGTCAGCTGACTTTCCAGTCTCACCCCAGCTTGACTTCAGCTATGCTGGACTGCACACAGAGCTTGAGTCACCATAGGTTTCTCAGCCCTCTAGATATTCCCTCATGCATTCTCTGTGTGGAATGGCTTTCCCCTGAAGATGTCATGTTTATCTTCAGTCCTGGGGTGAGACACACCCTCCTTCCTGGGAGAAGTGAGGTATCCTATCCTACCTGTGTTTCAACATTTACTCCACTCACATGCAACACTAGTTGAGAATGGTTGCTTCTCTTTGAAGTTTTGGCATGAAATATATCCAACTTGGTGTCCTTTGGAGGAAGAAAAAGGAAAGCAAGAATGCAGTTTTTTTTTATATCCTCACAGTGTGGAAGACCCTTAAGCAAATATTTAAGGAACAATGGGTTAGTACTTTGCCATCGAGCCAAAGTACTTTGCCTAGAGCCAGAAGTCAAGGCAGAGCCTTCTTTTATCTTACCCCTCCCATTCATAACCACTATATCCACCATTGCAACTTGTTTTTACAAAATTTGTAAATTTAAAAATGCTTTTTTTGAGGGTCAGCAAGATAGTTTAGCAAGAAAGAAATTTGTGACCAAGGTAGATGGCCTTTATCCAATATTGAGTCCCCAGAATCTACATAGTGGGAAGAAAGAACTGCATGCAACAGCATTTGCATGTACACACACACACACACACACACACACACACACACACACACGCACACGCACATTAAAAAAATGCTTTTTGAATGTATATTCCGTACAGCCTACCTTAAAGAACTGTATAATGGCATTGAAGTTTTAGCAAGAGAGAACTACTCCTTTGGATTCAAAGCAGCACCTTTTTTGAAAAGTCTTTTGTTTAAAGATAACGCATTAGCAAAGGAAACCACAAGCCATTTGCTGGCTGCTAACATCCTAGTGAGAAATAGTTAATCACAGTTCTGACAGGTCCTATCAAAGGCTAATGAATATACATCTGTTTATAGAGAAGAGACTTTTGGAGCATGGGAGAATGCTTCAGGAGAATGGGGTGGGTGCTGGAGCTCAGAGAAAGGCCTGACGTGACACATAGGTGCTACAGCTGTCCGTGTTAGGTGGAAGCCCCATAGAACAATACAGTTCAATGCCCAGTCTGCTCTGTCATAATATTCAACAGTGGCATGAGTCAGCATCTGTGCATAAAGGCTAGCTAGTGTGAGACATACCCTGCTCTGCTCCTTGCCACATGGCGATGAGACCTTTATTGAGCTTCACAAAATCTTATTCCATCCTTGGCCAAATGAGCGATGAATTCTTAAGCTCTCTGTGGGAATTAAAAGACACAGTGTAAATGAAGTACTTGGCAGGTCACAAAACAAGCATTCAGGATAGGTTTACTGTATTAGGCAGCCTGCTGA